GAGGGTCGGCGCCGAGGGCGCACACTCTTGCTCACTGTCCCCTCCCTTCCTTCCACTTGCAGGATGAGCCGGTTCCTCAACCTCCTCCGCAGTTGGTTACTGATGGTTGCTATTGTTGCTGCAGGAAACACAATTCAGAGTTTCTGGGACCACAGCTTTTTGTCAGACAAATTGTACACTGGAAGCCCAACGTTCGGTAAGACTTGTGGTCCCAGTTGGGTGCGGCTTGAAAGACCGAGAGCAATAGAAGAAGCAGTAGCAACATTTAGGATATTTGGCTCTTTGAACCTGTTCTCTGAACGAGTGAATTCTTAAGAATAACCGCACTCTGAGAGAAGATTTTCCTCTGCATCTCTCTTTTAAATTGTTGCCGCCTTATTTTGAGACTGTGTGCTAGAGTTCTGTACTCCAAAGGGGGAAACATCCTTTCACCATGTTCTCACACTCTCTGTCTCTCACTCTCTTCTTCCCCCTCTCCTTCAGTCTTGGAAGTTAGGAAACAGCCGAGGTGTTGAATAGGTATGTTTTGTCAGTCTTCAGTGGAAGACAGAAATAACATGCCAATAATTGATGACCAGGAGGCTATGGCAGGTGAAGACCTAGAAACGATCATTATCACTAAAGAGGTAGAATTGGGCAAACTAATGGGTTAAACGTAGATAGGTCTCTTGTCCGTGTTGGAATGCTTCCCAGGGTGCTAAAAGAGATGGCGTGGGAAATAGCAACTGTGCTCGTGATAATTTACCAACATTTGCTGGACTCTCAGATGAGCCTGGCAGATTGGAAAACAGCAAATGTGACGCCATTGTTCAAAAAAGAGGTAGGGAAAAGGCGTGTAATTTTAGGCCCGTTAGCTTACTCTGTAGTGGGGAAAATGCTTGAATCTATCATCAGGGGAGAAATAGCAAGACCTCTAGATAGAAATTGTCCCATTGGGCAGACACAGCATGGGTTCATGAAGGGCAGGTCATGTTTAACTAATTTACTAAAAATATTTGAGAACATTACGAATGTCATGGACAACAGGGAACCGTTGGAATGTGGTGTATTTGGATTTCGAGAAGGCATTCAAGAAGGTGCCGCACAAAAGGCTGCTGCATAAGATAAAGATTTCCACAGTGTTACAGGTAATGTATTAGTATGGATAGTAGATTGGATAACTAACTGGAAGCAAGGAGTGAGGATAAATCGGTGGCTTTCTGGTTGGTGATAAGTGGCTGGTGATGTGCCTCAGGGATCAGTATTGGACCACAATTGGACAATTTATAGAGCTGCAGCTCTATAACACCCTGGTTAGACCACACTTGGATATTTGTTCAGTTCTGGTCACTTCAATATAGGAAGGATGTGGAAGCTTTGGAGAGGGTGCAGAGGAGATTTACCAGGATGCTGCCTGGAATGTCTTATGAGGAAAGATTGAGGGAGCTAGGGCTTTTCTCATTGGAGCGAAGAAGAATGAGAGATGACTTGATAGAGCTGTACAAGATGATGAGAGGCAGAGCGTGGATAGCCAGAGACTTTTTCCCAGGGCGGAAATGGCCATCACGAGGGGGCATAATTTTAAGGTGATTGGAGGAAGGTATAGGAGAGATGTCAGAGCTAGGTTCTTTACACAGAGTGTGGTGGGTGCATGGTATGCACTGCTGGCGGTGGTGGAGTCAGATACTTTAGGGACATTTAAGCAACTCTTGGATAGGCACATGGATGATTGTAAAATGTAGGGTGCAGGGTAGTTTGATCTTAGAGTACGATAATAGGTCGGCACAACATTGTGGGGCCAAAGGGCCTGTACTGTGCTACTCTTCTATGTTCTATGTTTTAACTGTTTACAATTTACATGGATGATTCAGAGTTAGTCACTGAGGGTAGTGTGTCAAAGCTCATAGATGACACTAAAATGAGTGGTAGAGTAAAGTGTGCAGAGGACACTCTGTCTGCAGAGAGATATAGATAGGTTAAGTGAATGGGCAAGGGTTCTGGCAGATGGAGTACAATGTTGGTAAATGTGAGGTCATCCATTTTGATAGGAATGACAGCAAAAGGGACTATTATTTAAATGGTGAAAAATTGCAGCATGCTGCTGTGCAGAGGGACCTGAGTGTCCTTGTGCGTGAATCACAAAGTTGCTTTGCAGGTGCAGTGGGTAATTAAGAAGGCAAATGGAATATTGTCCTTCATTGTTGCTAGAGGGATGGTTTTAAAAAGAGGGAGGTTATGCTGCAGCTGTATAGGGTGCTGGTGAGGTCACACCTGGAGTACTGTGCATAGTTTTGGTCTCCTTACTTCAGAAAGGATGTCCTGGCACTGGAGGGGGGTGCAGAGGAGGTTCATTAGGTTGATTCGGGAGTCGAGAGGGTTACCTTATGAAGAGACATTGAGTAGACTGGGACTACAGTCATAGGAATTTGGGAGAATGGGGGCGGGGAGTAGTGGGCAGCTTATAGAAACATAAAATTGTAAAGGGAACAGTTAAGATAGAAGCAGGGAGTTGTTTCCACTGGTGGGTGAAACTAGAACTAGGGGCATAGCCTCAAAATAAGGCAGGAGCAGATTTAGGAATGAGTTGAGGAGGAACTTATTCACTCAAAGGATTGTGAATCTGTGGAATTCCCTGCCCAGTGAGGCAGTTGAGGCTACCTCATTGAATATTTTTAAGGCAAAGATAGATAGATTTTTGAACAGTAAAGGAATTAAGGGTAATAGTGAGTGGGTGGGTAAGTGGAACTGAGTCCATGAAATGGTCAGCCATGATCATTGAATGACAGAGCAGGCTCTATGAGCCTACTCCTGTTCCTATCTGTGTTCTCATGTCTTTCTTCCTCTTTGCAATTTCTCATCTCAAGACCCAACCTGTCATAGAAACACAGAAGATAGGAGCAGGAGCAAGCCATTTGGCCCCTCAAACCTGCTCTGCTCTGAGCTCAATACCCTAAACCTCCCACCTCCCACCCCCCACCTCATCAATGTCTTTAGCCACAAGAGATATATCTAACTCCCTTTTGAAAACATTCAATATTTTGGCCTCAGCCACTTTCTGTGGTAGCGAATTCCACAGGTTCCTCACCCACAGGGTGCAGACATTTCTCTTCCTGGCCAAACCATTTCTAATTAGACAAACCCCTTCAACTAAATTGATGCAATAGTTTGTTTTAAATAAGGAGCTTTAAATAATTGGTCAACAAACCAGAACTACCATGGTTAATTGCTGCACCTCCTTTGGTCACACATCCTAACCTTCTGATAATGAAGGTCAACCTTCTGTTGGTGTCCTGTTTACCTTCTGCACCTTTTGTGTCCCACTGTGTGTTTACATGTGTGCTGTAAAGCTATTTTTTTGTATTCCCATGGTATTTCTTAGTCAGTTTCTGTTTGACATTTAGCTAATGCCCGTGTCTTGTACTGCTGCAGACCTCTCACTTTATGCACCTTCTTCTTTTCTCCTTCCCTACACTGTGCCCATCCTTCTGCTGTTTTAGTTTAAAATCTCCCTGATCACACGAGTGAACTCCCAAACTGGTCCCAGGCCTGTTGAGATGCACCCTGTCCCTTTTGGATATGTGCCTTCTGTCCCAGGACAGGTCTCAAGATTCTGAAGCCGTCCCTCCTACACCATGATTCAAGTTGCACCTTGATCCTTTGCAGCTTCCTGCTTTTACCCTGACCACCACGTGGCACTGGCAATAATCCAGAGATTACTAAACTCGAGTCACTCCTTTTTCACCACCTCCCTAGTTAGTGAAAATCTGACCATTGGACCTTATTTATCTACAGTCTCCATATCATTAATACCAATGTATTTGGACAAACAAAGTAGGAACGGAGCAGGCCAGTCAGTCCTCCAGCCACTCCTACTTTATTCCTTACATTGCGACCCTGCCTCACTCTGTTCCATCTTGAGAATATTCTGCGCTGTCTCCATTATGTACTTGACTGTGGCCCCCACACTTTATGGGATTCATATTGACAGTTACAGAAATGGAGTTTTAGATGTTTCACTCTTGACCTTGCTTTGCTGATTGTTGTATTTCAATTTTGTTTCTGTGTAGTGAATGGTTTGCAGGCAAGGACATTTGGGATCTGGACTCTACTCTCTTCCATCATTCGATGTGCATGTGCAGTGGATATTCACAACAGAACGTATGTAACTGTGGCACTACACCATAACATAGAGGGAATTTTAGTCTGTATCTATGCTGTCCCTGTCCTGGGAGTGTTTGATGGGGACGGTGTAGAGGAAGCTTTACTCTGTATATAACCCTATGCTGTCCGTGTCCTGGGAGTGTTTGAATTGTTTGTCATAAGTCATTTTCTTGCTGGAGGATGTAGGATTTTGTGATGTTGACTGTTTGTTCCTTTCTGTACCCACAGGTTGTACCACGTGACTCTGTGGACCTTTATTCTTGCTTTTGGTCACTTTGTGTCTGAATCCTTTATTTATCACACAGCACCTATGACAAAAGCAGTGATGGCACCCCTGTTAGTGGCCAGTAAGTAGACCCTATGATTGTACCTTGGAGCAATCTGACAGAGTGGATACAGGTATTGGTAGCCTGAGAGGTCAGAGAGCACTGACTAGGGACATTGTCACCTGTCAATTATGGCGATATAGTGGGTGACTTGTTGATTGGTACAGATGCCAGAATTAGCTGTCAGTTTCAGTTACAAAACTTCACAATTGTCCAGACCAACCCAGTACCACAGAATCTGCTCATCCTGTTGCTGAATTGGTTTTATCAATTTGCCATTTAATTCTGTAAAATCTGTTGTTAATGCTGTGTAAACCACTCACCATCCTGACTTGGAAATATGTTGTTGTTCCTTCACTGCTGCTGGGTCAAAATCCTGGAATTCCTTCCCTAAGGGCATTGTGGGTCTATCTACAGCACATGGTCTGCAGCAGTTCAAGAAGGCAGCTCACCACCACCTTCTCAAGGGCAACTAAGGATGGACAATAAATGCCGGCTTTGTGAACAAAAGGATAGGGTTAGTATGTGTTGGATGTTCTGTTTGTTCCACTTCTTTGCATTGACTGTTGACCTCTCTCTCCTGAGGTTTCTCGATCCTGGGAATGTTGGTTGGATTTCAGTGCTTGGAAGATCCTCAAGAGGCAACCTCTATTCGACCAAAGAAAAGGATGTAGAGCCTCCATGATGGCCTGGCTGCTCAGAATAATGGTGTGCAGAGAGCGAATAGATAGGTTTCTGGCTGCTGCACATTCAACTAGTTCACCTCGGCACTCTCTCCACTGCACTTCCATCAACTTCATTCATCACAATCAGTGACTGAAATCCATTCGTTAGCTGGAAAGACCTTTCCGATGTTCTGAAGTCATAAAGTGTGCTTTAGAAATATGAGTCTATTTGGATTGTGATACAACACAGAAAGAGGCTATTTGGCTTATTGTATCCACGCTGGTCAACATTTATCCCATTTCCCAGCCCTTTGCCGACAGCTTTGGAGACTACAGTAATGCAAGTGAACATTTAAATGCTGCTCAAATGTTTCAAGAGTTTTTGATTCAACTATCCAATTAGGCAGTGACTTCCAGAATCCCAACATCCTCCGAGTTTAAAAAAATTCTTACCTCTTCTTTTCGCTTTCTGCTTCTTACCTTGAATCTATCCCCTATGTATCAGGTCCCCTTTCAACCTTCATTCCTCCAAGGTAATGGCCTATTCAGTCTTCCCTCATTGTTCAGACTCTTCAACCTGGGCAACATCCTAGTAAATGTCTTCTGCACCCTTGCCAGTGCAATTACATCCTTCGTATAATATGCAACCAGAGCTGCACACAGTGCTCCTTCTGTGGCCTAAATAACATTATATACAGCTCTATTTTTGCCTGCTTCTCTTGTATTCTCTGACTTGGCTAAGAAAGATAAGTATCCCAAACGCCGCCTTAACCACCTAATCTACCCGTCCTGTAGCTTCAGGGATCTGTGGACATAGTGGTAATGACACTGGACTAGGAATCCAGAAACCCAGGTTAAATCTGTGGGGGCATGGGTTTGAATCACGCCATGACAGATGGTGAAATTTGAATTCAATAAAAATCTGAAAATAAAAGCTAATGTTCTTGTAACCACTGTCAATTGTCATAAAACAAATTGGGTTTACTGATGACCTTTAGGGAAGGAAATCTGCCATCCTTACCTGGTCTACCCTACACATGATTCCAGATCCACACCAACATGTTGACTCTCAATTGGCAATGAACATTAAAATGTCAGTCTAGCCAATCACATCCACATCTTATGAGTGAATAATTAAAAATGAACAATTTTGGTATCACTTTGTCTCAGATCCCAGACTTTTTTGACCAGTATGCCATGAGGAACCTTATCATACGGCTTGCTTTTGCAAGATACTGCAGGTTTTAGTGCTGGGGCCACCACTGTCCTCACGGTTACAGATAACACAAAAATAGGTGGTAAGGCAAGTGGTGAGGATGACACAGTCTGCAAAGGGATTTAGACACATTAAGTGAGTGGGCAAAAACTTGGCAGATGGATAAAAAAGCTCATGGACATTTGGAGTGACCGGGATTAATGCCAGCTTTGTTTTATTAAGGGGAGGTCATGTCTGACCAACTTGATTGAATTTTTCGAAGAGGTGACCAGGTGTTTAGATAAGGGCAATGTAGTGTACTTGGACTGCTGCTAGACTTTTGATAAGATCACAAAGGGAGTTTGATAGAGAACATGAGAGCCTATGGGATCCAAGAAAATTTGGTTAGTTGAATCCAGAACTGGCTGAGTGGCAGGAAGCAGTGGGTGATGGTTGATAGGTGTTTTTCTGGTTGGAAGCTTGTCTCTAATGGGTTGCATGCAGATCAGTTATATAAACATGGTTTATATAAATGATTTGGTCCTGAATACAGGAGGGTTGATCACTAATTCCATGCATGAATCAAAAATTGGTTGGCTGGTAAATAGTGAGGAGGATAACTTTAGACTACAAGAGGATACGGGCGGACTGGTCAGTTAGGCTGATAGTGGCAAATGTGATCAATCCAGGGAAGTGTGATGTGATGCACTTGGGCAGGACAAAACATACGGTCATAGGGTCATACAGCACGGAAACAGACCCTTTGGTCCAATCAGTCCATGCCGAACATAACCCAAAACTAAACTAGTCTCACCTGCCTGCTGCTGGCCCATATCCCTCTTAAACCTTTCCTACTCATGTATCTATCCAAATGTCTTCTAAACTTTGTGCCCACATCCAGTAGGACCCTGGGTCGCACCACGGTTCAAAGGGACCATGATGTGCATGTTCCCTGGTCCCTTAAAGCATCAGGACAGGTGGAGAAACTGGGTAAGAAGACATACGTGATACTTACCTTTTTTAGCTAAGGCATTGTGTTTAAGAATGGGAAGTTATGCTGGAACTGTAAAATGTTTGTTAGGCCACAGTTACAGTATTGTGTGCACTTCTGGAATTCACTTGATCAGGTCCCAGAGATTTATCTACTGTTATGTGTTTTTAGACTTCCACCACCACCTGTTCTGTAATGTGGACTGTTTTCAAGACTTCTCTCTTTATTTCCCCAAGTTCCCTAGCTTCCATGTCTTTCTCCACAGTAAATACTGATGCAAAATATTCATTTATGTATCCACGCACAGATGGCCTCGTTGATCTTATTTTCTCCCTAGTTACTCTTGCCCTTCATATGTTTGTAGTATCTCTTTGGATTATCCTTAACCTTAAGTGCTAAAGCTTTCTCATGTCCCCTTTTAGCCCTCCTGATTTCCCTCTTAAGGGAATTCCTACACCCTCATACTCCTCAAGGGATTCACTTGATCCCAGTTGTCTATACCAGACATATGCCTCCTTTTTCTTGACCAGAGCTTCAATATGTCTAGTCATCTAAGAGTTCCCTACTCCTTCCAGGTTTACTGTTCACATTACATGCTATCCCTGAATTCTCATTATCTCATCTTTGAAAGCCTCTTACTTGCCAGAAGTCCCTTTACCTGCGAGCAGCCTTCCCCCAATCAACTTTTGAAAGTTCCTGACTAATACCATCAAAATTGGCCTTGCCCCAGTTTAGAACTTTTAACTTGTTGACCAAGCCTATCGTTTTCCATAACTATTTTTAATCTTATAGAATTATGGTCTCTGATCACAGGAGTTGTTTTCCTTAGAGCAGAGGAAATTGAAGGGGACATGGTTGAGATGTATAAATATTGAGGGGCAAAGAGAGGGAAGATAGGAAGAAATGTTTCCCCTTGGTGGAGGGATCAGTGACTGGGAGAGTGGATTTAAGGTAAAGGGCCAGAGGTTTAGAGGAGATGTGAGGAAAAACTTTTGCCCAGAGAGTGATGGGAATCTGGGACTCATTAAGGGTGGTAGAGGCAGAAACCCACATAATATTGAAGAAGTATTTTGATGTGCACTTGCAATGCCAAGGCAATGGAGACCATGAATCAATGCTGGAAAATGGGATTACAAAGAAGAACAAAGCAGTACAGCACAGGAAAAGGCCATCAGGCCCATGAAGACTGCGCTGACATGTCACACTTTCTAAACTAAAAACCTCTTGCCTCCACATGGTCCATATATACATAGATGATTTAGAATTGGGGACCAAGTGTAGTGTGTTAAAGTTCACAGATGACACTAAAATGAGTGGTAGAGCAAAGTGTGCAGAGGACACTGAAAATCTCCAGAGGGATATGGATAGATTAAGTGAATGGGCAAGCTTCTGGCAGATGGAGTACAATGTTGGTAAATGTGACGTCATCCATTTTGGTAGGAATAACAGTAAAAGGGACTATTATTTGCATGGTAAAAAATTGCAGCATGCTGCTGTGAATAGCGATCTGGGTGTCCTTGTGCACGAATCACAAAAGGTTGGTTTGCAGGTGCAACAAGTAATTAAGAATGTAAATGGAATTTTGTCCTTCATTGCTCGAGGCATTGAGTTTAAAAGCAGGGAGGTTATGTTACAGCTGTATAGGGTGCTGGTGAGGTCACACCTAGAGTACTGTGTATAGTTTTGGTCTCTTTGCTTGAGAAAGGATGTACTGGCACTGCATGGGGTGCAGAGGAGATTCACTAGGTTGAGTCCAGAATTGAGACTGTTGCCTTACAAAGAGAGACTGAGTAGACTGCGACTGTACTCACTGGAATTTGGTAGAATGAGACGGGGGGCGTCTTATAGAAACATGTAAAATTATGGAGGGAATAAATAGGATAGAAGCAGGGAGGTTGTTTCCAATGGCGGGTGTAACTAGAACTAGGGAGCATAGCCTCCAAATAATTTGATTTGATTTATTTATTGTCACATGTACCTAAGTGCAGTGAAAAGCTTTGTTTACGAGCAGTACGGGCAGATCATAATAAGCAAGGGTGTACAGATCAAAAAGACTTAGACAGAGGCATGCAGGTTACGTTGCACAGGGTGTGTGCTAGGTAAAATCAACATGAGCAAGATCAATATTATGTGAGGCTAGAGTCCATTCATCAGTTTAATAATGGCAGGGAGGAAACTGTTCCTGAACCTGCCCATGTGTGTGTTCAGACTTCTGAATCTTCTGCCTGACAGAAGAGGATGTAGGAGAGCAATACCGGGGAAGGATGGGTCTTTGATAATGTTGGCTGCCTTCCTGTGGCAGCAAGCCAGGTAAGTGGAGTCCATAGATGGAAGATCTGAGATAACAAGGTGTAGAGCTGGATGAACACAGCAGGCCAAGCAGCATCATAGGAGCAGGAAGGCTGACGTTTCGGGCCTAGACCCTTCATCAGAAATGG